TGATATATCTCCAAGTGAGCTAACTACCCATAGATTTCCGTCTAAGAGCATTTGCCACAACTTGGCCTTTTTCAGGTGATAAAGAATCTCAACATCATAGTCCTTGAGTAACCCAAACCATCCTCTATGTCTCAGATTCAACTCCTTCTGTTTAAAAATATANGGACTTGCATATCAAGAATGGCAACTGGAATTTCTTCATAAGACAGTTCTTCATTAACCTCAATAGTTTCAACTGGCACAATAGTGGACGGATCTCCCATTACCTTCCTCAACATAGACACATGANCTTGTGGTTCATAAATACATCAACGTGGACCTCATACACATAATGTCACCAAATCTTTATACAACAACTACCGTCACAAGTTCTAAATCATGTGCCGGATAGTTCTTTTCATGATTCTTGGGTTGCCTAGAGGCATAAGTGATCACCTGGCCATGTTCCATCAATAGTGAACCATCTATATCACATTTCTCTTGCATATGACCACCTAGGATTTGAGTTCTTCAATAATTTTCTTGATATGGTTACAATTTTATGTGAGTACTTGAAACTTGCTCTTCCAAATTCTTAACAAAAGATATTACTGGATGGGTTTTCTTATAGAACCTTCTATGTCAAAGGAATAACATCTTCTAGCCTGCGCACACACCTTAATATCATCAACATGCACGAGATTGCATCAAATGTAATGTAACATCGTGCTTAGACCTTTCTTGATCAACCTCTTTCCTCCTTGTGTGCCTTATAGGATTTAGGAAACCACTGCACTTTCCCTTGTGAACATTCTCATGATATCTCTTTACTGTTCAGCACCACCCAAAACACATATCAACACCTTTCATACATATTCAATTCAGAAAGCGCCACTGGCCTGAACAATATTTTGGTACCATCTTTTCTTTCTAACTGGAATATTCATTCCCCATCTATTTTGCTCATATTGCATAGTTGATAGCTTTATTTTTCCACACACTTGTCTACCTCCATGGACTTGTGGTATCATTGTGTCTGGTTTGTTGAGTTTATCACACTACTATTTCACCACCAGTAGTCTCACTTTCCATTGTAATATGTAGACATGAACTCCCTCTAAATATTTCAGTTGATATTCAGTGTCACCCAAGTCGGTAGCATTACGATTAGTCCTTTATACCTTATACTAACACTTGTGCTCCAGGCGAGTCCACCATTCTGATACGAACTATGTTGCGATAACCATGGACATCTCAATTTATACATTTTCTTCCCATTTCTTTTCGCCTCATTATTCATAGCTAGTGAATAGCCACGCACTCTTCCACATGTTACGTGGTCTTTTTCCTTATTATTTTTTTTCATCCCGCTCACCTCTTAACTCTTGTTAGGATATCCGTGGGAAAGTGTGTTCATCGTCATATCACTTAACACTTCTTTGCTTGTAAGATTCTTTAGAGGCTTTCCATCAAGCCCAAATACCCTTTTGGGTTATTATAGCATCACATTTATTTCTCACACTAGTTTCGCCTTTGTTAACACCTTGGTACTTTCGTTAAATCACATATCTATGATTAATCCATTCTAAAAACTCTCAACCTTCCACATTCGACCTACAGTACTTCCTTAGGTTCCATTGTTCCTANTTCAAACATCATAGCTACATGGTCTTACTCTTGTTTCGTTGTATTTAAGTGGCCTTAATATGGCGCTTCCTCCCCCACTTAGGGCGAATGTCTAGGATTTGACACAAGTCTTGAATTTAGCAACTTCATGGATTAGGGAGATTGAAGTCACCATTGTATTAACCCCATAAGTTCTCTACTCTTATTTAGCCACACGGACTTGGGATTCCAATTCCTCATGATATCCTTCAGGAGTGTAACACAACTTCATACACTTATGGGATTCTTATAACATTCATAACACAAGGGTCTTCTCATTATGGGTTCAATTGACTCTCATTTCATGACTTCTTGTCTCTCGTGAGAGACCTACATGTTTGTCATTACTCTCCTGGTCATGCCTTACATATATCACATGCTTATATAACAAATTTTTATTTTACACCTTAGGATCATATACATGCTTCCCACACTATCAACAAGTGCCATATAAGCTCGCGTCTCATTTATCAAGTCAATGTCTCTTTGGAGGTGGGTGATCAATTTTAACACCTTTCTCATATAAAGTATGCTTCTAGTACTATGTATCTCATATATCCGTACAATTTGTTCAACATGATACATGTGCCATCTCATTAATACTCAGGCCTTTCCCATTGGTCATTCCATATGAGAACATTACTTTAAATAGACAAAAGAGCGTTTAAATATACCTTGAAGCTCAACGCACGAGTTAGAAAACAATCTTATAGTCAAGATTTATCGCACGATCTGGAGTGTTGAAAAAGGGTCACATTCCTAAATGTCCGTGTAGCTTCCAACTTATAGATGTGGTCGACAACACACCGATAAGAAGGACTCTACTAGACACGGCTCTGAGACATCCTAGGACACTTTAAAACCTTAGGCTCTGATACCAAGTTTGTCNAATACTCTCACATCCAAGAATCATCTTACTAATTACCCATTTCTAGTTAGATTTCAAAATTGAAGAATTGGGAAAAATAAATTCTTACCTCTTTGAAGCCTTAGCAACCCTTTGATGCGATTTCAAGGTGTGATTCAAGGAAGAGTAGTGAAATTTTTAGTTTTCCCCTTTACTCTCTCTAGAATCGCTCTTCCTTCTCTCTAGAATTCCAGAAATTTCCCCAAAAATAAACCTCAATCGAGTTAAATAAAATGGGGTTCGGGTCTTAAAAACTCATTTTTTTTGTACTGCCGCGTCGCGTGGGGCGCTGCGGGGCACGGGACGTCTGTGAAAAATGTGTCTGGAAATGAAATTTCGGACCATACTGGAATTACTACTGGCGCGGAGCGCCTGGCACCGCATGGGGCGCCGCGGTAGTGCAAATTTCTGCGCTGCTTTGGTAATTTGGTCATAATATTGTGTAGGAATGTCCGAATGACGAACGGTTTGAAGCATTGGATACTATACTCAAAGACATTTTATTTGATAGGCTGTTCATTACATAAATCCTTATATAACTGGATATATAATTGTCCAAAGTGAGGTCTTGTGCGCACTCATTTGCAACTTTCGTCTATTATGAAATTTTCCAACTTGGCTTAGACTTAGGCCTCTTCTTAGACCCCAATTCACTTCTAATATGACTTATACACTTATTAATATATCTAATTGATATCCATAATATCCTTAATCCTCATTTGTACTCAAGATAAAATATTTAGCCTACCTTGGCACCACGAAATCTTAAATTACTAAGAAAAATTTTCTGGGGCTTTACAGAATGCTAAGCCAGTCAGCACACCTCTTGCTAGTCATCTAAAATTGAGCAAAAAGATGTGTCCTACAACAGAGGAGGAGAAAGGGAACATAGCTAGAGTTCCTTATTCTTCAGTAGTCAGAAGCTTGATGTATGCAATGGTATTCACTAGACCAGATATTGCTCACGCAGTTGGTGTTGTCAGCAGGTTTCTTGAAAATCCTGGAAAGAAACATTGGGAAGCAGTCAAGTGGATACTCAGGTACCTAAGAGGTACTACAGGAGATTGTCTATGCTTTGGAGATCGCATCCAATCTTGAAGGGCTATACAGATGCTGATATGGTAGGTGACATTGATAATAGAAAATCCACTACTAGATATTTGTTTACATTTTCAGGGGGAGCTATATCATGGCAGTCGAGGTTGCAGAAGTGTGTCGCACTCTCTACAACTGAGTAGAGTATATTCCCACTACTGAAGCTGGCAAAGAGATGGTATGGCTCAAACGGTTCCTTCAAAAGCTTGGATTGCATCAGAAGGAGTATGTTGTCTATTGTGACAGTCAAAGTGCAATAGACTTGAGCAAAAATACCATGTATCATGCAAGGACGAAACATATCGATGTGAGATATCATTGGATTCGAGAAAGGATAGAGGATGGGTATATGCAGGTAAAGAAGATCCATACAAGTGAGAATCCTTCGGATATGCTGACCAAAGTGATACCAAGAGACAAGTTTAAGCTATGCAAAGAACTTTTCGGCATACACTCAAAGTAGAACCTCCGGTGTTACCTCCTTCAGTTATATGGGACTGGAGGGGGAGGTTTGTGGGGTCCATCCCATAAATCAAGGAAGAAAACTTTCTTCCTTGATTAGCAACAACCCACGTTTCTTTCTTTTTTGTGTCAAATTCAGTAGGCGTGCAGAAGGCAATGTCAAATGTAGTAGGCGAGGCTCTGCCTATAGAAGGAGAGCTTCGGCTCTCATTTTATACACCAATGTCAGAGGATAAGTATATCTGAGAGTTCGAAAGAAAGAGTGAGGTTTCACAGACAGGGCATAAGAAAATAATCTGTGAGAAAAATAGAGAGTGAGTGATATTGTAGTGAGATAGGAATATCAAAAGAGGGTTATTTCTTTTGAGTGTTGTAGTAGTCTTTTGAGTATTTTAATCGGACTTACAAAGTGTAAAATTCCTTTCTATAGTGATATTAGTTGCTCTTCTCAGGGCTATGGTTTTTTTCCTTATTCAAAAGGATTTTTCACGTAAAAATCTTGGTGTGTTGTTACTCTTTTATTCTTGTTAATTATCGTATCTCGGTGCTACGTTCTTATTTCGCTTTTATTACAGTGAATATTATTTTTATAGGGGATTTATTCCCAACAGTAGTGTAGCTGAACAGACTTGAAAGTTCTTTGGGAGCCCACTGTGTATTATATGAGATGATATACCTATCAGAGCTATGATACAAAGATGGTGGGACATCAAACCAAAGAACTCTATTCATCAAACTATTCTTCATATAACACCTGTGGTAATCCTTTGGGAGATATTAAAGGCTAGCTGCTCAGTAAGATATGACGATGCTAAAGTTTACTTGAAGATAATACATTACCAGATTTTGTCCACTTGAAATGGGTGGTATCAAAGGCTAAGTGTAATAGGCGATGGGCAGGGAGTTGGGTAGATATCTGTCAACAGGTGTTATTACTCATTCCAAAATTGATTACGTAGTTGTTAAATGGCATAAACCTCCTGAATATTGGCTTAAGATTAATACCGATGGAATCAAAGACGCGAAAGGAAATTCGGGTATTGGTGGCATATACATAGATCATAAGGGCAAGCTGACTATGACGTTTGCTTCTTCAATTGGCAGAACAAATAGCAACATGGCTGAAGCTAGTGCAGCCTTAGCGGGGGTGGAATGGTGTAGTCGCAATGGTTGCAACAACACTATACTAGAGTGTGATTCCCAGCTTGTGGTTGATTTGATCAATAGGTAAATCAAACCTCCTTGGCAAATGCAGGGCATTATTAGACAGATTCAAGACATTGCCGGTCAACTTAATTGTGCTATTCGCCATTGTTATAGAGAAGCTAATCAAGTTGTGGATGCATTAGCAAAATAGAGTATTGACAATGAAGAACTTCTTATTTTCTCTCATCATGCTCTTCCTACTTCTGCAGTTGGATCTTACAAATTGGATTACATCCAGATTGTGTCACTAAGGCATAAACATAGGAAGAATACTTTTTTCTGAAGAGTTTTTGTTGATTGGTAGGTTATTGTATATGCAATGGTGTATATGCCAAACTGCACAACTCACTTTTGTTTTTCTATGTAATACATAAGGCCAGTAAATAATTAGTAAATAGGGATAGTCGTTGCCTCCTTTGTGCGAGGGAACAATATAGGTCCCCTTCATATTTTTAATTTGTACTTTTATTAACTCTTTGTTGGTTGAATGATAGGGTCATGCCACCATACGACGTAATTGATATATAAAACAACAACAACAACAACAGCAACCCAGTAAAATCTTACAAGTAGGGTTTGAGGAGGGTAGTATGTACGCAAACCTTACCCCTACTCCAAAGGAGTAGAGAGGCTGTTTCTGGAAGACTCGGCTCAAGATAATAAGATATATAAAAAAACACTTATCAAATAAACACATTGTGTCTTTATTCAAATTTTATCATTTGAACGAATTATTTAATACGCATGCATTCACATTTAATTTATTATTAATTATTGATATATCAGTAAATATACAATTTACAATAAATGTCGGATATGGATAAACTTTTTCGTTCAAGATAACCAAGTCGTCCTTGTTGGATGTAGATTAACTCGTCTTTCGGCCCATAGCCAGACACAATAGGACAACAATCTGGACTTTGACTGACATTTCCCTTCTTCCTAGCTAGTTCTAAGTTTCAAATACTTTCTTCAACTTCCAACAACGTATGCGCCAAATTCGATTTTCCAAGGCTACGTTAATTCTGACATTATCCTCTATCAATTCAACTAACTGAAAATAACAAACAGTAAAGCAACCCCCAGCTCTTTCGGAACCAGCCACCTCAGATATATGTGGCGACACGATTAGATAAAAAAATTACCTTAATTTAGATATCTACGTCAGCTATTTTATCCAGAATTATTATGTTAAGTTGATCTGCAACAAAACACACAATAATTATTGTAATTGAAACTTTCCTTATTAACACGTGTTAAGAATGACAAATAATCGACTCAAACCCACGTCTCTATAGTCAATCGCATATCTCTGGTCTAATTTTCTCTAATCAAACGGTCATGAAAAATTTGATTACATATAAAATCTTTTTCATATATAATTTTCTTGAGAAATTTGCGTTTTTAATTACTTAAATACCCCTATCATATAATATTTTCATTATGAACCTGCTCTCATATTGCACGAATATTCATTTTTCATTCCTTTAGCATAGGGGCCATTGTGTGTGGGGGGGGGATGGGTGGGGGGTATAGTGATCAGAAGACCTATATAAAGTCATGGAATTTACAACATTTCTCCTCATCAATTTAAGGTTTTATTAACCCATGAAAAAAAAAATTCAATTCTTGAAACCATTCAATAATGGCGTTCAAGAAAACACTACCGGAGCGCATTTTCAGTGCATATAAATTCACTGCTCCATCCTCAACAACCTGTCGTATTGCATCCTCATCCATGTTGGCAAAATCCCCGGTTTCTCCTAATCCTGAAAAAAATATAACCCGGGATGCCGGAGACAGTGGTTTATTCCGGCGATTCCTCCACCAATCACTAGCATCCTCGCCGGTGCTCCGGTCACTACCTACCGGAGAAAAGCTTCGCGAAAAGCTACGTGGAATGGACATTACAAGAGATAGAATCAGACTTAACGGACTCGTGCCGCCGACACAGCGTTGGCCGGAGTTGGAGCAATTAGGAGTGACGGATGCAAGAAAGCTGTTAAGGTTTGTTAAATTATGCAACCATTTCATCCAAGAAATTTAAGTCGTAAGAGAGAATACTTTAAGTATATATATTATAGTATTTCAATACATCCCTTTGGTGTGGGCAGAGGTAGAGCTAGGTGAATCCTTTTGGTCAAAAGTTATATTGGGTAAATAGGACAAAAATGATTTTCTTTGAGTATATTTACATTATTAAAATTCTCTCAATATAAGGGTAAGATTCTGGTATAGTAATAAAGGTGGCTCAAAAATTGTTTCAAGTCACTCTTGCATTTGTTTTCATTGGCCAAACTTTAGGAGATTAATTTGAACCGAATACCTCTTGCCTGCTATTATATTGGGTTTTGTGACTATCAATCTCATTTAAAACTTTAGACTGTTAAAAGGGATAGTTCTAATTACTTTGATTGAATTATACGTCTCAATTAGGTTATCACAGCTTGAGATGGTGAAAGCGAGGTTAAGGAAAATTAATAAGAACTGGATTTTGTGCACGGAATTTCATCAAATCTGTAACGATACCTGTTCCAACGTTGATCAAGGCCTAGAGTTTGCAAAGATGTTGGACGAGTCGGGAGATGTGATTGTTTTGGGGAACGTAGTTTTTCTTCGGCCTGACCAGGTTGGTTTATTTTCCTAATTTTGTTATATCTTGTGGTGATGGATAAAGATAAGATTAAGTGCACTGCATTAATACCTACAAAGAATAGGAATGTCTTTTGTTTAAAAATCCGAAAACTGATAAAACTTTCATCTATTTGTGTATTTGGTACATTGTTTTCTTCGACAGGAAAGTGAAGAGAGTCACTCCAGATCTCTAAAATGAGATAGTGACTTTTTTAAGGCGTGGATCAGTTGGACCGTTTTGAAAGACGCAAATTACCCTCTTGAACATCTCAGATTTAATTAACAATATTATTTACAAATAGACAAAATTAGGAAAAACATGAACTGTGGATTTTTCGATTTTGTTTTTGTTTTTGTTTTTTGTCGATGAGAAAGAGAGATTGATGGAGGAGATCCGAGTTTTGAGGAGTCCAAAGCTAGCAAATCCCACCCTATAAACAAAGATAAGGAGCTATCCGATCCCCTCTTCTTGGATAAAGAGTAACTGAAATACCAACAAACTTTAGGCCATAAGGTTGATGTCTTCATTTGTCTAAATAGGCACATCATCATCCTGTTAAAAACTTCTACATACTAACAATTTAAATAAACTTAACGCCATTTATTCATATTAAGTGAAATTAGTAATCTCAAAATTAAGGCAAGTATTCGATTACAACATGTTGAATACATTGATGATAAGGTAAACTTCTTTGTATTGTCAGTACAAAGGCAAATATCAAAAACTTTTACTTAATTGGTTTCATTTATGTTCTTATCACTAAACCTATCTATCTTACTCTTAAAAGTTATGGATTTAGAATCTGATATATCTCAATTTTAGTGATTCTTTTACATACATATATTTTATCTTCATGTCGAAAATACTGAGTTCGTTAGGAACTCGAGGTGGATGAAGTGTTAGTGTAAAGTCTATTGTCCTTGTCTTTTGGGGTAAATTTCACGGATGGTCATATAACTATGATTATTTTTCACCAAAGTCATATAACTTTATTTTCACACCCAAAAAGCTTTTACTAACTCACACAAAAATCACAGTGACCGAAAAATACAACTTTTCAGTAGTATTTTCTTATCCCAAAATTTTCTATTTTTATTTTCAATCTGATAAGTAATAATCCAATTATAATTGGAACGGCCTGACCCACCAACCCAAAACCCATATATATAAATTAAAATAATAGTAAAAGTGAATCCTTCAAAATATGATACGTCTATCTTTTATTTTTTTTCAAGATTTTTCATTCAAATTGATAGCATTTTTGTTTCAAGTGCTCTCTAATTATATCTCTTTTATTTCTTTCTTTTTTTGGGTCAGAATCTCATGCTTCCGAACAAAGTTTATTATCGGGGAAGGATTCACTTTTACTATTATTTTAATTTATGTATATAGGTATTGGGTAGGTTGGGTTTGGTCATTCTTATTTTAAGAGAAACATACAAAATTAACCGGTACCAAAACTAATTGCAGTTGCTAACAAAAAATATGTATGTTATATGTATATAACACACACACATAATATATATATTATTTTTATTTTTAGAGCGGCTAAAAATATGTATTTCTCCTATTTTAATTGGGTTATTATTTATTAGATTAAAAATAAAAATAAAAAACGTGAAATAAGAAAATACTACCGGAAAATTGTGTGAGTTAGTGAAAGGTTTATGATTTTTGTGTGATAAAACAAAGTTATATACTTTTGATGAAAACATAGTTATATGAACATTTGTGAAATTTACCTTTATTTTTTCGTTATAGGTGGTAAAAGCAATGCAAGAACTAATGCCAATGCCCATAGCCAACCCAAATCATGAAATAGGAACAAACAAGGAGCTTCAACAAATGGAGGAGAAAAAAGCAGTAATTGACAAGAAAGCAGAATCATTGGTACGTAGAGAGATGTGGTGTGGACTAAGTTGCTTCATACTTCAGACAGCAGCTTTCATGCGGTTCACTTTTTGGGACTTAACATGGGATGTCATGGAACCCATTTGTTTTTACGTAACATCCATATATTGCATGGCTGGTTTTGCTTTCTTCCTTAAAACGTCCAAAGAACCTTCTTTTGAAGGTTTCTTTAAGGCACGTTTTAGTACAAAGCAAAAACAACTCATGAAACTTCATAAGTTCGATCATCAAAGGTATAATGAGCTACGGAGAGCCTACTATCCTCATTCAGCATCACTTAATTAATGGTAATCTCAGCACGGACCTGAATTTCTCCTGATGTAGCAGAGCTTCTGCAGGAACAACAGTGAGATTAACATGAACCTCTTCTATGGTAGAAATTAAGGAAATGTATAAAAAAGATTACGTTACACCAATTTTTCCGTCCCCCCACCCCCCCTTTTTTCTTTCTTCCACTTATTTTTATTAACGTTTACGTAATATCGGCTAATGTACATGAGAGTGATGAGGCTTAGGAACTCCGGATGTCTATTTTACATTTTGCTAATAATTTATGATTATTATTTATGATAATATATGATTTAAAAAATGGTACTAACTAATGAACCGAGGCAGATCTAGCCTCCTGGATATGGGTTCATTTGAATCCATATATATATATATATATATAATGAGGTAATTGTATCTTTTTTGTTCGACTCACATTATTCTT